GTGGAAAATTATATTGCATGAAAATCTCTAAAAGAAGACCCTTTGTTTTTTCGTGGTATAGCTGGGGAGCGTGCTCGCCTCACTCTTCACGCTCTTCTCACTTCACGCTCTTCTCATGCTACCCCCTGCACGCTTTGAAACATTCGCCCAAGTAGTGCACGATATTTCAGGTGGCAATGCCACGAAAAAGAGGAGTGGGTTAGCCTCCGCTGCTAAAAATTGCTAGAAAAAGCCAGTTACGCAAAGCAAAGAAAGTAATACGCTTTTGGGGAAGGCAAAAACTGATCGATATTTTAAGGCTCTTTACTTCTCTAAGTGTGTTTGAATATTTTGGAAAACAAAACAACTTTTCTACGTGCCTTAAAAACCACACCCAGATCTACTATATGATAAAATTTACTTCGAAATGCACGGCTAATATACCAACAATCATTGTATAAAATGATAGAAAACTTTTTGTACGCATCAATTGACTTAAATGTTTTCATTGTTCCTCAAAAGAGCCTTTTCCGTTCATAGTACTAAAAATGGTTACAAGAAAAATATCTTTCGGAAGGCAACATTAGAATCACTCAGAATTCTTTTTTTATCTCGTCCATCCCTTCAAAGACTACTAAATTAATTAATTTCAAGACCTACTTCAGTTGTCTGAGTGTGGCAGTGTTTAAGACTGGCACGTACCATACAATAGTCAAATATCATGCGTTTTATTTTATGACAGTACTTATCAAACTACTCATAAACAATATCTTTAAATACACACCAGATTCAGATCACGTACCTTAAGTTTAGCACAATTAACTCCAGTACCATATTGGGCAATATAAGTTATGATTATAGCTACCAATGACAGTCAGTGCATTTGCCGACTAGATATCAGCGAACTGTCTGAGGGGGGAGGGGAACATGCTTGGAGTGGGGAGGAGAAGTAAAGTAGGGAGGGAGGGTGGCGACCTGTGATGGACGAACTTATAATACCAGGATGGGTATAAACGCTTTCAGTCGTTTCTGTGGTGTGAGACACAAACTTGCTGAGTATCCTGAATATTGTCGAGTTCATTTAAATGTTTTTAAGTCAACTTCATCTTTGAAGTAATTCGGTCCAACATGAAGGCTTGTATATCGGGTGTTGAGGTTAAGCTAATCCTACACTGATACAATAAGTAGAGTGTTTCTTGAGTGCTTGCTCTTTTCTATAGCTGTCCATTATTTTCAAGTGCAGCTTTTAAGAATGTTCCGTCATTTAGTGAAGAGTCGACTTGTATTAGAAACGATCCAAGAAATATGGGATGCGGTGTGAATTTGAAATTGGCAACAGTTAGAGGTTGTTTTTAACAATCATGCGCCTGGCCTCACGTTTCCAACAAGTTCGTTAACAGGAACACAATAGGGCGAGGCTGTATTCAATCAGTAAATCATTGCGAAACGTAGTATTTGTTTTGACATAAGAACTGATGGTAAAGGTGGACGATGTGAGCCATACTCAAGCACTCAGAGACATAACTATCACTTTAAGATATAGTTCATGAAGATCGTGAGAAAGTTTGGTTTAGAATAACAACCTCAAAAAAACACGTCCTCTCCTACAAATCACAATGGAGAGATCGTTGATCTGATTCACTTTTGTTTACTTTTTTACCCAAATGATCTTTTACGATACTTGGTTCATCGAGGAAACGTAAAAGCTTACCTATACTTTAGGGCAAATGAAAGTTGAAGAACAGCTATGTATTTTGTAGCTAAGGCTCCGCTTTTACTTCAAACCTGTGTCAGACTGAGATAAATCTAAACTCTTGACAATAATCGAAACAATGTTCTCATTTAAAGAGAGACAAATCATCGCGATTAAAATTCACTCTGACGAAGGGCTATTCAGTGCTCGAAATGTCGCTAGCTCTAGAAACTCTTACGGTGACCAAGTTACACTAAACTCAGTTCATAAAACCAAATCATGTTGTAATACCTATCATCGACGCAGAGCCACAGTTTCTTTGGAAGCTTTTTTATCCATCGCAGTTAAACCTGAGAGTATTTGTGGAAATTAACGTGGAAAACGTTCAGTCTCCATTATCGATGGTGTTTTTTCAGTTCTAATAAAATCTTCATTCCTAAGTTCAAATATAGGATTCATATATATTTCCTTAAATGTAGAGTACTGTTGTCGTATTTTCGTGCCCGGTTAACGCTGGCTAACTCGGCGAGGGGAAAGACTGCGCCTTGTTACTACTCACTTGTCTCATCTGCGTAGTACCTAAGAGTCTCAGCTGAGATAAATTTCTACATAATCCATGAAAGCATCGTCTCCGAGTTAGCCCTTGTGAGGAGGCACTTATAAAAATCTAAGCGAAAAAGAGGGAAGTACGGACATTTTAAAGACGTTGAAAAAATGACAGTCCGAGAGAAGCATAAAACGATTACTTCTGTTTCAATATTTCATCGAGAAAAAGAGTCTTTCCACAAACTATCATAATTATCGAATGGAGCTATTAATCTGAATATATTTCATTCCTTTTGCCCTTTGTGTGATGCACTCCCCATTTCCCGCTGGCGAGCAGGATCAAAATGTGGGAACGCACAGATTGCGAGATAAAAATGCAAGCGACTTGCAAAATAGTTTTTTTTTTTCTCAGTGATACCTCGGATACCGTATTGTGACTAGTTTTTGGTGGTTTGCATCTCACACGTATTTTAAGATTTTGAAGTAAACAACCTAGGCTATGTGAACGTGACCGAGACGTATTTGCAGTAAATTTATAAAATATTTTTGACGTGCTGATGAATGTCTCGTGGCCAGTATACCTGTGATCTACTGATTGGTTTAACTGAACCGCGATACTTGGCGTGGCGAAAAGAGCGCCTTTGGATTAGTGATTAGTGTTGACATCTACCAGCTAGTGTTTGGAGTTACAGTATTTTTCACCTCGTTTAATTTGGTCAGAACAGACCACCTTAACGTAATATAGAACCAAAGCGGTTCTTTCGCTCTGAAATATTGTTTGAACTAGATGACCACAGTAAAGGCTAGAAAATCTTTTCCGAAGTACAGAAACTGCTCATTGATCTTTTTTGCCTTTATGGGGTGAATCTATCCGTAATAATGATGCTTCCGCCATAGAAGTATTTTGAGAAGTTGTAAGTATTCACCTGACAGAATTCAATTTCAGAACTTTTTAGGAGTCAAGGATCCCTTAGAACCATTAAAAAGCTTAGCCGGAAGTGATAAAATTCTCCAATCGGTAAAATACCGTCTATAAAACGAGGCCGCGTGACTCAATACCTTAGCTCAACCTTTACTTCCCGGCCCTGTTTCAGTCACATTCTCAAAGAACTTCACTAATATGGCAACCTACGACTGCCGTCAAAGTTGCCCGAGTAATTAAACTGAAAAACAATCAAGAACGCCAAACGACTCATTATAGACTTATTATAGATCTAAAGCCACAACACTTGTTTCTGTTTTCTTTTTTTTGGTGTTTTTTTTTTTTTATCTAGCCGATTTGAAGAGTATCTTAGACCTTAATTCCTTATCATAATTTTGAATACAGGCAGTGAGACAAAAATTGCTGAATTGGATACGAATGACACTAGCTGTAAAAAATGCATTTTCTTTTGACTGCAAGTGCCAGCCTTTTAAAGGTCCAATTACTTGTTCTTACAGCTGGCCGTAACATCCGTAACGTTAGCTAAAGACTTATAAATTCCTAGCTGCTGGAGCAGAACGTTTTCTTTTAGTAAATATCTACCTCTTAGCTTATATTTTCTACGTGGTTCCGAGTTATTCAGTTCTAGTCAGTATAGCAGGTTAAGAGTACTTTTCAGTAGACACCCATCTCACATTTTAGTATCATACGTTTTTTTCCTAGCATGTTTGCCAATAATAAGAATAACACTGACCAGTACCCAAACCTTCTCTTTCAGTAATATAAGACCTGCTAGAGTACATACAAATTCTTTAACTGCGCATAACAATATAAAGGAATCTTGCAGCGGGAACCAAGCTATTAAAGAAACAAATTCGATGAAATACCTTGCGCTCAATTGAAGTAATATTCAGGTTTTGGAGCAAATATTTGTTCCTTTTCTTAAGAATTCTACTTAGTTCCAGGTTTCGTTTAAATACGACCTGAACTTGAGTGTTTCCATTTCTCTTCATAGGTTATCTATAGTACGTGACAGCTGAGAGAAATACGATGTGCCCTTGTCTAGCTGATAACGTTTTTAAAAATCTCTTCAATTACTCAAAATTGTTGTTGTTTTTTTTTTATAGCAAGTTGAAAGTTTTGTCAGTTGCACTTCCGCAATAATGAGACTGCTTTGGTAGTTGTGGTTTTTTTCTTTTTCCCACAAACCGCAGTCATATTTGTGGATCGTTAGCAAATATCAAATCTTGATCATTTCAGTGAGCTCTGTGCGTTTGCTTTTCCAGTTAATCACCAAAAAGAGTCTTGGGAAGTTGATGACATAACCATAACAACAACCCCTTACATATAAAACAGGACTCAAGATAACGCATTTTGTCTAAGTAAATTTTGAATTTGGCATCAACATTTCGAAATGTTTTATCATTGAAGACCACGACCCAGATCTCAAGGTTAGGGGAAAATTCTCCCCCTTTCTCTCTGTGAACCCTTAACATCGGTATGCACATTCTCCACACAGTTTTCTCTACATTTCTAGCGGCACTGACAAGAGGAATTTGATTTACCAGTAGTTTTAGGCTTCTTTAAGCTGGTGATAATTTCCTTGAGTTTCATAATTTTTGGCGTTTGATTCGAATGTGAAACTGTCAGGAGAAATTAGATGCCAGTCACCTTCTCCACCAAACTCTTAACGCATGCGACGTTTCACGTTCCGCACGAAACTACTTCGCGTCTTACTATTTCTAGACAGAAAGGTGTAACGCGGGCTCTTATAAACATACCCTTTGTGCCCTCAACAGTTTCTCCGTAAATAGCTGTCAACTAGACCGGAGAAAAAACATGAAATACATAGGCTTTATATAGGAAATAAAACATTTCTTTTATTTACATCCAACGATGTGGTTGTCTTTCTTCTCAACAAATTATGCGACATTTCAAGTCGTGTACAAAAATTGTAAAAATATTATAAATTATCTATTTCGTTTTCTCTGACAGTTTATAAAGATCTCCGCATAAGCAAATATACAATATTATTTATAAAACGTTTCCTGTGTCATAAATATTTTATGCAGTTCGCATTCCTTATAAAATATACAGTCACTGTTTCCTTTCGAACATCAACGTAAATGTAATGAACTTGAACATTACCTAAATGACTGTTATTTGATATTTACAGAAACTGTACATAAGAATCCGTTTCAAATATCGACCATGCCTTGGCGTATTTGAAAAGCAGGCTTTTTGTAACATAATCAGCAGTTTTATACTAATATTGAGTAGCTGTAACTCGAGGAAGGTTGTTCTTAATTTTTTTAATTAATTAAAATATTTATCATGGTCCCTAAATTTAGTCTAAAGAACATTTTTGTTCAGAAACGAATTACAAGCTTCTGTTTCTTTTATCATAAATAAATATCACTTTGTTGACAAAATTATTCCTCTAAGGAATGTCGAAATCCTCCTCTGCAAATTCAAAGCAGAAAAAGTAATTTTATCTATAAAGTTCTTGTTATCACTTAGATTCTAAGCGTAGTATGTCATTCCTGCGCCAAGCGGAGGTCCATACATCGGTCTTGATTGAGGGTAAGCGGGAGGTGCTCGTGCCCAGTAAGACATGGGGTAGCAGCTGTTAGCGGCCGGGTGGGTGAACAATGGTGAGGCGGCGGAAAAGCCGGCGTAGAAGTCAGAACCTGGGAATTTGTAAGCGGCTTGAGCATGTGCTTGAGCGTCGGAGGTGATTGGCTGGTTGAGCTGAGCCAATCCCTGAAAGTCGAACTTATAAGCATATCTCTTGCCATGGATCTTCGTCATGATGTTCTTGTCGTAGTAATATCGCAGAGCTCGGCTTAGCTTGTCATAATTCATGTTCGGTTTGTTCTTACGCTCGCCCCATTTACGGGCAACCTCGTCGGGATCTACGAGCTTGAATTCACCATTGGCGCCTTCCCAAGCGATGCAAGTCGAGTTCTTCGGGTCCGACAAGAGTTCGAGAAGGAACTGCCATAACTGAATCTGACCGCTACCTGTACTGGCGGGTTCGGTGCGGTTTCCAACATTGGCATTAGAGTAAGAGCTCGGGAGGGACTGGGATTCTGGTACAGACATTGGTCTGGATGGAACAACACTGTCTTTCATGTGCGACAGTCTTGGTGTCGAGGATGGTGTTGACCAAGAGGGTGTATTTCTGTCCATGGAATCTGGAGAAAACAAAGGTAAAGATTGAATAAATACAGGGGTAACAAAGGAACAAACATTCTTCTTATAAATAGCACAATTCTGAAGAGTTGTTCGTTTGGTCTGTAACGACGAAAACAAACAAAGTTCAACTAACCATTTGAGGTGAATCTTCCTGGAAGTCCATGCTCTGAGCTCCTGGCCACTGAAGGATTGCTAGTGATAACTGGGTGCTGTCTTGAATCAAAAAGTGGCGGTGAAGGGGCGTGGTAAGAAGCTGAAGGAAAGATAAAGAACACGGGTAAGTAACCTGGATAAAAATCCGAGATAAATTTATTGTTTGCCTACTCCGTTGGTCAAATAAAGCTTATCTGGAAAGGTCAACATTAAACTTTGGATATCAACTCAGGTTTTTGTAATCAAGATCTTCACGGGGGAACGAGCTAGTTAAAACAACACTCCAAAAATAATGGATAAGAGATGAAAAAGGATTTAAAATAATATCAAGATTGTCCAATTACCTTGAGACGATGCGGGGGCGAGTGCATTATCGATGTCATCAGATGTCAAATTTGGGAGAGGAGCTAAAGGAAACAACAAAACAACAAATGTTTGATAAGCACTTTGTAAACTGAAGGCACTAAATAAATTTTTTTTGCCACAGAAAGGAAAAGTAGCTGGACAATTACGAGCATTGCATGCATTTTCGATGAAGTAAGTTTATGTATTTACTTTCGAAACGCACACCTATGGTCAAATACGATTTTAAAAATAATCTAATCGATGATCTTCCACCCACAGTGAAAAACTGACGCTCTTTCAATAAACATAAGAGAAGTATTGAACCTAAATCTATCCACAGGACTGCACTCTGTGATCTCTCCTACTGCTTGCTCTTTTTTAATCTTCGTATTAATTTAAGACCGCAAATGAATCAACTGTTAGTGAGGTGTTAACTTACTTTTTCTCAACACACACAGATGTGCCATCAAAATGTCTCCATTGTATGCAGGGGCTAGTTTCATGAACCCTTCTCTCGTCAACTTGCAAAGTTCTTTTCCATCCATGGTAAACCTTTCAGAATCGATGTCTTTCAGACTAAATTCTTTGATTGCCCACTGTATCCACTGACGCACATGTTCTTTAGTCCAACACAGAGGGTCTTAACGAAGGAAAAAATAAAGATTTAGCGCTATAATCCAAACAATTCGGCGCTGGATTGTTATAGACAAGCATATTCTAAAGCGCATTTATAGCATTCGTTCAATCCGGCCCCTGAATGGCAGATTCTTCTGTAAGGCTTTATCCTTTCAGATTATTCCCAGTTTTATAACTTTTAAGCCGGCATATACATGTCTATGGCCTATATATTAGGAATGTTTGTCATGGTTTCTTTTTCGGTGATAAACAACATGGCAAAAGGTTGACTTTCACTGAGAGAGGTTAGAAAACTCATTACGAAAATAATTAATATCAAATTGTCATAGCTCATTTCTTGGCCAAAATTCCCATGGTGAAGAAAAATAAAATTCCAAATCTCTCAGCAGGAAAGTTCCGTTTATTCTCAAAATTAGGCACTCTATATTTGCGTCTTCCGGTTGATGCTGATCTCGAACATTATCTCTGAATAGTTGAAATTCAAAGTTTTGATTAGAACGCCGAAAAATTTCACAACCCATTTCGTGCCCGAAGCCTTATCGCTAAAATTACAATGATGTGTGGTTTGAGCGTAATCGCTTGATTTCCAGTCACACAAGCCAGGTCGGGGTCATTTAGACTTAACAAGGGTGCGGTTTATCAAGCTGCAAAATACTTCCCACAAACCCAATCGTTGAGTTGAGGGTGAAATACGAGCCAAAGCATGTTTCAGCTGATCTATCAACGACACACGATCTCTGGGTGTGTCGAGAGCTCTCAGACAAAAGTTGATAAGCAGAATGTGCTTTAACTCACCGGCTGGCACGATGACTCGCTTCTCGTGCGATAAATTTTGTGGGACAGGGGAGGGTGAGTTTCTCTCAGCGAAGTCGTTGTTTGGCACATAAGGTCTTTTGGCGAGTGGTTCATCTAGTTCGGCCTCCAAAGGTCGCTTTTTGTTGAAGAAATTGCCATCGCTTTTGTGCGCTGGTTTCAGCGGCTTGTAGGGGTCATTGAATGAAGAATCAAAGAGCGATTGATCATCTGAAATCAATTCCTAAAACGATGAGAAAGCACAAATGGTTTAATGAAAATAGCCGTCAAATAATTCATGGCTTCATAAATAAAATCAGCGCCACGAAAAAAGGCTATTACCCGAATATAGGAACTAAAAAAGGATGGAAGCTGTTTTGAAAGGATGTGTTGTTCAATGTGCACATGGTTATGAAGTTTAGTCTTGTTTCCGAACTATGATTTGTTGTTATATGGATTCAAATCGGCTGATAATACAAGAGTTCTGACACTTGTTTCATCATAATGCTAAAGGAACAATACAGTCTTTTCAACCGCAACAACTCTTTCGTCATCTAAAGTTTTAAAAGCACACGTTGGTTTTCTCTTTATTAATTCACGCAAAACCGATACACGTTCCTAAATTGAAGTCATGCCTTACATTACAAAAATCTAACGAGCGCGAGGCTCAAGAATAACTTTTTCGCACATCTGAAAGTCAAGTCTTACCAGACCATATTAGCCAAGACATTGACACATAATGCGGCATTCCTTCACACGAAGCAAGAATTTACGCTGAACTATTCTATGTTTTCAAAGATATTGATAAACTTCAGGCCTTTAATATCATACCAAATAAAAAATAGGAAAAATATCCGAAAGTACAAACTTTCCTTTATACTGGTTTTAAACTTTTACAAAAGTTTTCACACCTCGCGTCAGAGGCGAAAAGACACCGGTGATGTAGGATATAATTAGTTAACTTACACCAAAGGAACGTTAACTAACCTGAGCATATACAGATGGGTCGGGTACGACGTTGTGTTCACTGCTTAGTCCGTACATGGTGTTTTGAATCTAAAAACAACAAATGCGCATAGAAAGAAAAATTAGGTAAATCGCACATCAAAATAACACGAATGACAAATAACCAAAGAATTCCACGGTGACTCAGTGATTTCATAGATCTTGTAAGTGAAGATAGTCAGTTCGAAGTAATACTCACCGTTTGTATCTCAGTCGTGATTTGAAGAGAAGTTAAAGGTCTTTAACGACAAGATAAATCGATCGTTAGAAATCGCGAGTATCGGAATGTATAAACTAAATCCTTCGAAGCTGACTGGCTTGAAGAACTTGAGAGTAAAATTTAGAGCGCCTGCACAAATCCTCTGTAGTAAGTTTTGTAGATGTTCCGGTAAAGGCGTTGATTTGAAACACACCAATATCCGTTCAAATATTCAACTCTTTACGGTATAGCCTTTGCTTTCCTCAAGTTTTAATTCAACTGACGTTCCAGCGCCGTGCCGCTCAGCTTTATACATCAAGTGTCTAAATCGCGCGAGAAGAGGTGGGTCTCGCATTGACAGGTTAACGATAGGTGGTAAATGTTTGTGACACAAAAAGCCAATCAGCGCTGAGCCACTTGAAAAACAATCATTCCCTGGAGTGTTCCTTTCACGCCTACGCAGACACACCTAGATGACGTAAGCAAGGGGTCGTAACCTCTTGTTTTATTCTCTTCTGACGATTATCAAATGAACAATATCGAGATTGTCACTGCCATCCAATCACGTACGCAATTCTCGATAAGGCCTCAGCCTGTATAAGAAAAGATAAACACCGATATCATATGATCGAGACCCAAATTCGTGAAGGTAAACTTTCTCTCGCCAAAAGCAAACTATTCTTACAAAAACAGCGTTCAACGCACCCAGTGTGAAAAACTGCAAACAATTACACGAAATTCCTTCCAACTAATTTTCTCTAGAGGTTTTCTACAGTGAAAGATTAGCTAAAGACACAAATTAAATTTGCTATTTGATCTCCAACTTGATGGTCAAGAAAGCTCTCGAGGGATTGTAACAGAATACGAAGAACAAATAAGCCTTTGAAAGGGTCAAACGTGTAATCTGACAATCGGGTTATTATCCAAGCGTGCGACGGCAAAAATATAATTATTTTCTTACGTTGCAGACCGGGTTTTCCGAATCAAATGAGACTAGGAAATGTAATTGGGATTTTAACGCGTCACTCGAGACAATAATCAGGCACACGATGAACCACGGGCGTACGTGGTAGAATGTGCTTTTGCCGTACTCTTTAATCTTACACGTCACGGAGGCTTGTTATTTGTCATTTGAAAATGTCTTTCATTTGCTAATCAAGCTTTTGTGTTTGTGCTCCCATGGGACAGGGTGTGTCTCTTTAACAATTTACCGCCAAATTACTCTCAATGAATGAAATCAATCGCGCTTGGTTGATTTCGTGATTAATGCCGCCGCGAAATTTATGATTCGATTTTTGGCGCGCAACCTAACTAAACATGCTCATCCCAAGCTACGGAGTTAAGATAATTCGACTCGATAAGCGGGTGACATGTAAGTCTTTCTTATCCCTTTTTTTTACCCACATAGCGCTCTCTGAATTTGAGCAATCGTATACGTGTTACGTTGAAGGTTTTTTTTTTCTTTTCGCTTTTTGCGGGATATGTTTAAAAACCTCTTGTGACCAAAACGGAAAGGCATCTTGTGTGTAGCAAAGGTTATTTTGAGGACATGAAACCTAAGTGCTAGTACTGGTAGAATCAAACACAAACAGAGGTCGTGTTATTGTGAAAAAAATCCTAACCAAATTAAAGCCTAGATTGTGTTGTTTTTCTTAGAATGCAAACGACGTTATATTGATAATGTTTACTCGTCTGTGGCATGTTCACTGACCGTGATTCCGGGCACACAGTCTAGATGAATTTGAAAGTTGTTAAGGGAAGGGTTTCGAGGAAATGACAAATAGCACTTTTCTTTGGTCTTCTAAATTAATTTCCCGTTTCGTTTTGTCTAACTTAAAGCTCAGACACAAGACGTTACGAGCAGAAAGTTACGGATAAAACGTCCACCTGTGTCATAATAGTATCGCCGATCGTGCACTTGCGCAGTGCTGAATATTCGCGAAAGATCTAGTGAGTCCCACAGAAAAATAACTTCTCTATTACGTGGGAAAACGACTGTGCTCTCTAGAGATCACGTACGCTTGCAAACGTTGAACGCGACTCTGCTGATTCATCGATACTTCTTGTTCTCTCTGGAGCTTTCGAATATCACAAACTATCACGTCCGTTGAGGGAATGAACTAAGCGCAGAGAGGGCAGCGTGATATAAATAACAATTCGAGCGGGCGGTAAGATGGCGGTGGAGATTAAGGAAAAGAATTGATTCAATTTTTTTCCATCACCTTTTGGCAAGTTCTAACAGGGCTATTAATCACGAACAATGGTAGAATTAGACACTGATACGTATTATTCAGGAACACTAATATTTCCGCTGGAAAATTGCGAAAGATCAGCTCAGAGTTAATTTTCCTTCGACAGTCCATAACAGAGCGGTGATGTGGCGTGCATCTAGGCCGTGGTACAGCGTTCCTTTAGGGATTTTCTTTTTGTTTTACCTTAACGTGAGTTCGTTTTTCAGCGCTAGACTGATGGGGTAGAAAATGTTTCGGCCACAAAACCCACACTCCCAATGTTGTGTAAAATAGTACAAAATACGTTATTATTTACTGACCTCGTGCAGTGCAATTGCCAGCTAAACAGGGCAAAGGCAAATTTCCCCCATTATATGAAACTTTGATCTGGCCACACTACAGGATAAATAAATTTAAGCTATAATCGTTGCTAGTCGATGTGTACTTTGACGCAGAGTTAAGGAACACAAATCTCTACCGACTAAATTTCGTGGGATAAAGGGATTCAAAACAGAGCAAACAAGACTAACCCTCTGACAACCCCATTCTCACGATATTTACCGCGTTGAAAATTTAGATGAATTCTTTGCTGGTTTGTTTCTTTTTTCCTACACATCTGTGTCTTGCCGAATCAGTCAAAACATTTATCGGTTTACAACCACGTGCGGAAATTATAACGGAAAAACGAAGAAATACTCATTTAATTACTATCTGTTCTACTTCTAAGATCGGACACCCACTTCATTTTTTCAGTTCGCTGACTTTCAACCGCGTATCTCCGTCTAAACGACAATGATATACATAGAAAGGAAATCAAATCGAAGATCATATATTTCAGATATTAGCACTACTATATCTTTTACTCCATTTCAACGAATTGGCTGAATTTCAAACTTTGAAATGTTAGCACATCGGGTTTCCCGTAAACAAGCGCCAATGGCAACACGGTATCACACTGTCAGTCAGTCAGTCATTCATTTTGTTTGAAAAGAAATACTCCAGGTCAACGTGATACAGAGTTATTTTTCACAAATATTAGTTTTATTTGTTCCGACTCTGGTATGATAACGTTTTCAGGATTGTTGAGCAGAACTGGCCTAAGGCAAAAAGAGGATTCTGCCAATTGCTTGAACAGAACAGTTTTCAGTCTCTCTTTACTCTTGCATATTTTCGTTTTTGTTTCTTTTTTTTTTTTCCCCAAGATGTATCCTTTTAATTTCAATTCACTGCCCACACAGTTCTATACAGTATAAATAACAAGGCCACTTAGAATGGAATGCGAAGACTGACGCTGTCGCTTAAAAATTTAAAACCTACGTAAAAATATGTTTAAAAAATGTGTTCAACGAAATTAAATGAACGATGGCAACGTTCATGATTACGGAGGAATTGCGGAAGCCTAATAGAGACAGAAAAAGAAACATTTTCTTCCTAAAGGATGGCAAGTTGTACTTCTAAGCGGAAGAGAGCCGGGAGAGATAAAAATAGAAATCCTAAAAGTTGCAGTTCGAAGAAGTCCTTCGACACTAAAATTGATGAAATAAAGATTTTTGCAGTCTGCTCTGAATAGATGGGATATTTGCGAAGATGTTCAAAGAGAGGTAGATCAAATCGAAAATCGTTTGGTTCACTTTATTCCAAAACTCATAAAAAGCCGATGGAACCAAACAAATATATCAGTTTTTAATTTTTTTTCCCTTTCCTTTTCTTTTGGAGCTTATCTGCGTAAGAGGCAGTGGACAAAAGGAAATAGCTCCTCAGACAACCTTAAGCTTACGATGTTGTCTCAATGGCGCACAAGGCACTACGTGCTACGACCGGAAAACAATCTTCAACTTGTCGGGATAACTTGCTCAGCAATGATGAATTCAGTCACTGGCTACTGAGCTGAATACAAAACGAAACATTTACAATGGGTTGAGTTGAAACGGAAAAGCACGCCCTCTCTAAAGTTTCCGCCAACGGGATCCCGTTTGTCCAGTGCGTAGATAGCACAAAAGAATACAGACTTATTTTATTCAGTTTTCAGAAAATTTATGTATTATCTCTTGCTTGAGTTCAAAAGGTTAACGTGAACCTTTTTCCGGCGGGTAACTTTTATTTCTCTACGTTTTTCTTTCATTTATTTTTTTATACCCGCAATGTTCAATGATTTGACTCATTTTAAGACTAAACGAATGAATGACAAGTCGGAGAATAAGTTGACAGAAAAGGAAATTGTATTGGAAATATAAGAATATATGATTCACAATTGCTGTATCTCCTATTACTTAAAAAAAAAGGCATAATTCCTTCTGACGCCTTTGCGTTTGATATTTAAACGATCTTTGAATCTACTCCTACGACCAAGAGGAAATGTCAACGACAGAAAAAGCCTTATATTTCATCCAGAAAAATTTAAAAAAAAAAAAAAAATTAACAAAAGAAATTCTGGAGAAATCTTACATAGTAGTAGTAATCCTGAAAAGTGAGGAATACAGAAAGACATAATTTTCAAAATGGAATGTAAAAAAAATATTGCTGCGAAAGAAATAATTTAACTCAACACGAATGTGGTCTTTCTGAATTTGGGGGCCTATTAATACTGTTTCGATTCGAAAACGAAAATGTAACAATTATCTAAAAATACCTAGCTGCGACATGAAAAGAACTCGCTGATAAGATGAACGATGAGGGAAAATGTTTCTAATTTGTCTTTTTTATTTATAGACGAACCACAACCACTTTTCCTAATATCCAGCGGTAACAAGAAAAGTTTACGTAATATTAGTCAATTTTCGATGAAATTCACAGAAGACAGGGTTTCTTTATACATTACGATCCCTTAGGGCTAAAAAGCAATACTTCACGAATAATAGAAAAGGGGAAAAAAACATTGCGGAAATATTGGAAAACAAGGAGCCTTCCGTTTTGTGCAGTATCGAATATGATATTGCAGTAATATCCAGTTGTGGGGCAAATATACAAAGCAATCTTGAAATACAGAAGAATACCGATTTAAACTTCCTTTTGTCATAAATCAAAAACGTCTAATTTATACTAAAACAGGTTAGGTTACAGCAGAGACAATCTATGCGAGAATATTAAAAAATAGCAATAACAGGAGTGCATTCAGGGCAGCGTCTACTTCCATTTATTGTACAGCGATCAGCTTGTTATAATTACAGGTACTTCGCTGTGTCGGTTCTTGAACTCTGGAATTAGTTTTTTTTTTCCCCTGAGTTATTTATTTTCACTCCTAATAACTCTACAAACTTTCCTTAAAATGATCTTTCCTTAAAATGATCGAGCGCGATCGTCAAAGAAGACCATTACAGCAGTAAGTTCATTTGATGCAGTTTGCCCCATCGAAACTTTAGAAACCAAATTTGGTGTGAATCTCCCGAAGTCGATTTTCAATGATGGCGACTGGTGGGTGGGTAAACTGTAAAGGGTATTTGTTCAACAAACACATTGCTTTAGACGCTTGAAGACTTCAGCTTGTTATCGAAACGTAATCAAAACCCCCACTAACATTGGAACTAATTATCAGTGATTTTATGCAAAGAATTTTAATAGAAGGCAGTGATATGACTGTAAATTGTAATAAAGACAGAACGGAGACACAGAGGAGCCAACTCCGGAAGTGGTTATAAATCCGCCGACCTGAAGCCATTGTAAACAACGTTTTATCCTTGAAGGCAAGAAAAAAGAAAAAAAAAAAGAGAGAGAGAGAGAGAGAGAGAGATATAGACACGATGGGGGCTAAAAGTCGCTGGAAACTCCATTTCTTACCCATCTTTGACGGGTAAAAGCCTGGCGATAGAACGAAATATAAAGACTTAAAGCAGTGTTGGTCGTCCTTTGCTGTGCAAATTGGAGACAAAGGAATTGTTTTAGCAAAGCAAATAGAGCAATACCTTTATTTCACCTTCAGTTATTTATGATTTATAAATGACTACGTGCAAACTTGGAATTCTATCTAGTCATGCTCACATTGGCAAGGCATGTGTATTATAATACTGAGCGAGATTTACAGAAATGCCTTGACCATTCTAAAAAAAAATTTTAAATTTGACCTCCCCAAAATTCCGTGAACCGTCTACTATTCGAAAACTTTAAGACCTTAGGCACAATGTTTGGTAAGACCTGTTTTGAATTACTTTCCAACAGGGTTAGTGAAATGTGATTTGTCTCTCTTCTAGCTGATCGGGTTACTCATCACTGTCGGCGTCCCATCGAAGTTTGTTCCTTTTTACACACAAGCTTTACATTATCCTACCACAAAGAAAGAAAAGTTTTTACAAAGTAATTTTCGCCCACGTAAAACTACAAACATAGATCGATTTTGTGTCAAGGTCGAGCGAGTATCAGCGTATTCGATGCCGCGATATTTCAAAAACACACAAATTGCAACAATGAAGCCAAGTATAATAGCCAAGCCTTTAAATCTATTAGAAGCTTCTCGAAAGGAATTTCAAAACACGTCAGGGCCCAAATCTTTCTTCAACCGAGGCAAAAAAGATCGAAATTCGTCGATAAAAATGTGCTGACTCAATACGAAAAGCCACTACACAATAAGCCATAAGTATTTACGCAGTATCTCGGAAAAGATAAGTCGGGGTGTATGGTGCGATTTCTCAAGATATCACACCTGGTTTTGTTGATCGCAGAATGATATACAGCAATAAAAACATCACATGACTAAAGCGAACTATTCTACTACCACCAAACACGGCTTATCCCTGGCTCAAACTATTGGGTCGAAACGCTAATCAACACGGCTCGTTCACTGTCGCATTGACCTTCTTACCCTTTCTATTCTTTACTGCATTCCAGTGAGGCCGCACCCAAAACAAACCACAAACTCTATTGGCTAAAGTAACGACCCATACTCTTTGGATAACAAAGATTTACTAAAAATAAATTTTGGAGTGTTTTGAGTCCTCGCTTTGGCAGTCAAACATCATTCATCGCCGCTTGAAGTTGATGAGTGCCACATTTCTAGGATTTCGAGCGGAACGGGAGATGTTAGAGACACCATGTTTTTAAAAGGCCTAGTTTGGGTCACTGGGGCTGCCGTTGTTTTCGAATTCCAGGTAAAAAAAATAAAGGCGCTGTTTACGAGTTCACATGGATTGATTCGAGTCAGTTCTGGTAGATATTATTTTCTAGGTAATCGCGATAAAGGTTTTGTTATGAATGTAACGCCTGGAGCGAAAAAAAACCTGCCGGAAAGTCAATTTGGTTTGAGTGAAAAGATAGCTTTATTAATAACACTTTACAACGATTCGGAATGGGGCAGGAAGTTAGGAAGCCCGCTTGTGTTTCTTATTCCGTTCAAAGTGCACAACAAGACCTCATACTTGATCGAGAAAAAAACAGGCAAGCAAAATCGGTTTTTCAAGTTGAGATGCAATATAAAGACAGCACACAATGCGCTGTAACTACACGCATGAACGCTTTCGCTTAACGCAAGATTTCGCAATTCTTGCACCCTTAGTCCCAGAGCTACTGAACAGAGACTAATTTCATCTCGGATCCAGCCACCCACTTTACTGGTTAATCGTTCATTAATCATGGTTCCTTCAAGATACACTCATCTAGTGTAGACATTACCATTAACTTCGCTACCAATACCTTTGGTTCCATAAAGAATCCAAAAGTAACTCTAGTTAAGACATTGAAACCCAAAAGAAGACCAAACGAAGCTATGCTTGTTTGTACAACGAAACGTGACCTACTGAGAAAAATTGGCCAAAAGTGACGGGTGACAATTATCACTTGGGATTATATTCGGCAGGAAAACAGGTTGTTTTCATTACCACAAATTATGGCTAAAACCCTTAAAATAATTCAGTCATGTTAGAAAAGAGAAAACTCAAATGACAATCGACTAATTTAGAGAAGTTTATCACTTAGTCACCTTTAACCGTCGTGGTTTTCGGCATTTTATATCTCAGAAAGGCCAAACCTGCCAGAAACGAACAAAAATAAATACACCGACACGCAATTGGGGGGACTCTAAAAAAAGCTTGGGACTGTGTTGAGTTCTAAACAAAACTCACGAGAGAATTTGGGACGGTTTTGCGAATTACGGCGTACAGTTGTGGCGAGAATTTGAGGGGTCTATTGTAGGCGTTTACTTTTTAAGTTCCAGCCTTTTAGTCATTACGCGTTTACAAAGGCGACGTTTTTTTTTTTTTTTCTCTGATTGAAATTAAGGAAACTGTACAGCTAGTACATAAAAAACGATTAAGACCTTTGTTTGTTGGAACTAGTCGTTCTTTCAGTATTCCGCGCATCGATCAACTAATATTTGCACCTTGTATGATCTACCTTCGGCGATGGGGTCATTTGAAGACGGTTTAGGGTTTAAAAAAAGTACTTTTATAAAGCTAAGAACAATATTTAACGAACAAAACGCTATCAGCGCCTTTCACTCAATAGCTTACTGTGAGAACAAAGGCCTCGAGTGTTTGTTCGCGTTTTCGGGTTTGAAGTGAATGGATTCTACAGAATACCGGAGATTTGGAAGGAAAACCGCAAGTTTGCAACAAAACGCAGTGAAATATCACTAAACAAATGTGCCACCTCTTTCTGCAAGGACGCCTAACCCAAAGAATTGAATTAATCGCGATGAACTTACGCCCAGTGCTAGATCTTTCCGCAACAGTAAAAGTTTGTGGGTGGATGAATTTCTAATGGCCAACGTGATTTGTTTTATTGAAAATGAAAGAAGTTTCCACCCTCCATTGTTGCGTGACGGACACACAAATATCACCAAGCAGAAGAGTACCTTATATTGTTCACTAGAGAAAATAAATACTTCATCTACGAGTCCATATTGTCAATTTAATATGCTGTAAAAAACAAAGGAGAAGAGAGTGTTTGAAAAAGCGTCAATAACATTTTATTCATTTGTTACATAAGTGTGGACGTGCTTGATCAAAATCAACTAAAGTTTGGTCGACGAGTGTTTTCATCAACCGCGAAAACTTGAAGCAGTTATTAATCAACTTCTCATGCACAACTTCTTATAGTGAAAAAAAAAAATCAACAATTCTCCTTGAGTAATAAAAAAAAAGTGTAAGTTTCATTCATTCATAATTCCTTATCGTTGACCACACTATTTTTATCAATTTAATTCCACTGAAAGATTATCTTTCCAAACAAGGAAAGTGTTTCTATTTTCAAGTGCCAAATTTCCTGTCTTTTTCTCGTTCAGCGTCAAACTTGCGGAACTCAACGCGTTATTTAGTGTTCTTCTTTTTCCATGCAAAAATTTCCTGAAACAATAAAAATCCCACCCTTGAAGGGACGTGAGGTCTATGTAACCGCAGGAAATTCGACCACTTGGTGTAAGATTGAGTTGTTTAAAAGTTAGCGTGATTACCTCACGAATTGAGCAAGACGAAACAAGATTAAAGATGACGCAATTTGACAGCCACGTGAAGTTATAATCTCCAAGGTCGACCCCAAAAATGTACCTGTTTACTGAAAAAGCGCAACGTAATTCCTTGACGTGGATTTTCTGACACCAGTTTATTTCAAAAAGTGGTTCGTGACTTAGCGAAAGGTGTAACAAAATCCAATTTAAATAAATGTTTTTGTTCTTGAAAAAAATTCATGGCGTTAGTCTTTCAACTTGACCTAGTTCATCACGTAGATCTTTTTGGCACAGGACAAGTTGAACACAAAACAAAATTGCCTGTTCCGTGACTTTTGCACAATGAGAGAAAGGCAGACGAACGCAAGATTTTAACCAAAGACTTTCTGATCATCGTCTGCAAATTATCTTTACCCTCTTGAAATAGCAAATAACAAATAAACTATTCTAATAAAAACGGTTTAGGATACTCAGGACGAGGATCTTAACTTTTAATCTTTGGCCGATTCAAAATTAGATAAATCAAATAAAGTGGGTCACCGTCCACGCCAGGCAAAGCACACGATCGATGTGTGAAAGTTTAATTAAAGCTATTAGATTGCACCATCCACGACAGGCAAAGCACACGATCAATGTGTGAAAGTTTAATTAAATCTATTAGATTGCAAATTTAATATAAATCTGCACAGTCATGCCAATACAAAATTGGAATTAGAGACGAAATGATTTCACACCTTTCATTGCCACTTTCTTGAGAGGGGTTAATTCATTCAGTGATACACACAGCTTAATTTTACCTCTGCCAAATTTTTCATCTGATGAGGATGATATTGAAAGAAACTTCTAAGACAGAGTTGAGACTTTGCGTAGGTAAATTCGAGTTCTTGAGAAACCGTCGGAAAATTTCCGCCCCCTCTGAGTTTTATCACGGCTTGCGCGGTCAACCCACCAAGGGGTGGAGGGGTGGAGAAAAAGGGGGCTGAGGGGTAAATGTTACGAGCCCGGAGAGGAGATTATGGGGGGGGGAGAGAGAGGTTCGAATCGTTGATTACCGCACGTCTCTAAGCAGGCCACGTTTAATCGCAATTACATTCACAAAAGAATTGATTACAAGGTAGCGATAAGCATGTGTAATAGCTCACCTTCGGGTAAAATATTTGTCCTTAACATGAATACGTGATAAACTCCGCAAATACCTTAATAGGAACAGACAAATCCCTATGCGCAACACATTTTGTTTTTTGTAAGTTGTTCCTGTGTCGGATATTTATGTTACTCGCATGCTATCGAGTTGATCATGAGTTGTACAGAATTTCTGAATGTCATAACGGGAAAAGATGGTAAACTTTTCAGAAGTGTATCCCGTTTGTAACTGAAGTTCAAAGCAGGATCAGATTTACAAATACAACTTTTCTATGATAGAGTATTCTACTTAAGGGCTTTTGGAATGGGAGGTGCAACTGGTCAACTGGTCTACAAGAACTTTACTTAACAGGAATTTTACGATTTCGTCGGTAATGGTACGATAAATGAGCTTTGGCCTGTAATATCAAATGGAGCATTTCTCGAGGTCACTGACGAAATCGCAGAAGAAGAGTCACCATGATTAGAATTTTTTTTCCTTGCTGAAACTCGTTGCTTATAGGGTTTAGGGTAAAAAAAAAAAAAGGTTCCTTGACAGCGTACACAAACTCCAAAGGGGAAGGGAAAAATCAAACGGGAACAAGGATGAAAGGAGGACAGAAAAGAATATAACGGACTGAAAATTTAGGCTTGAAATCACTTATATACTACTGAGATCTCCCAAGCAAGGATAACCTTCTCTGAGACTACCCTGCTCACACCTGCCAATTGATCTGCTTGTGGAAGACTACACCAGGTTATTTATAATGTTACGCAATAGGAGATAAATGAATATTGAAAACTAAATTCAAGCAACATTTGTACTTCTGCAAGACAACAGACAATTCGCGCTTTCGCAGTATAAATAACATCTTAACCGCGTTCCTATAAACTTTACTCAGATCGTAAGCATGAAAGATCAGATGGGAAAATTATTAGAGAGGCTCTTATTACGAGATAGCGCACCCTAAAGTTTCCTTTAAAAGCCAGGCAGCGTTTTTCATTCAATGTCTGTCCTCAAAATAATCACTTTTGTGCCAGAGTTCAAGTACTGGCCAGTTGCTTTTTGGACTTCTAATTATAACTTATGTATTTCATAAGAACACTTAAACTTAATTACTCCAATTACAATTATACACTCGAGTAAATTGGCTGGAGAAGGCTGAGCCCGGGTTCGAGAGAAATGAAATGCCTTTTGTTACTTTTAACAGACCCTTTCGCTCGAGGGAGTTCGCGAGGATCAAAACACCCTCTCAAAAATTATCACGTACAGCGTGGGGAAAGTATCTAATATGTTAAAAGATTTTATAAGAAAGAAAAAAAGTGAAACCCACACGTTGTACTTTACCACATTCTTCGCATAGTTTAAGAAATCAAACGCAAACGGTGGACAGATCCTTAAACTGAGACTACGATTTCCTGTGCTAACCTTTAACACTGCATGACTAGTTCCTTTATTTAGATCAATCTTTTGGATGGTAAGTAACCAGCCATCTGTTAAGAATTAAAGATTTAGGCCCATCAAAGACTTCTTTCACTGTATTGTGAGGCTACATTCTCGTAATAAGGTGTTTTCTCATCGAGAACAACCAGTAATAAAAACAAGAAATCGGTTGTGCGTTGTCAACTGATTATTAAGAAAGGAATGCTTTGTTTTTATAACTTATTAAATTTATCATCTCGCGCTTCCACCCTTTTGCATAGCACCCACCAAAATCCTTTCTGACGACATGCCAAAGGAATTCGAGTCGTTTCAGTTAAAACCGAAAATAGCTCTCCACAATTAAAAAAACCGATGAAACCTTTCTTGAAATTGGAAACTCCTGTTCCATTTTCGAATTTACCACTACATGAATCATGTCCTTTTACCAACTATGACATCTGGTCAGACAGGATCAAAGATAATTTTTTCAAGTTTTTTTGGCAGAGTGAGAAAAGTTGTTACTGAGTGGTGAAAATAATCAGTTGAAGAGATTCGGTTTCATAAAATCTTAGTATAGTTTTTGTTTTAATTACTTTTCTTACGAAACAACGTGTGAAAAAAACACAATAAAATATCTTATAGGTTTCCATTCCCTACCCCTTACTCCATGTTTTGTCGCGTCCGGCATTCGCGAAAAGTTGTAACCCAAATTCGTTTCAGCGTTCAAACGATCGGAAGTAAGGTAAATAAACGGATTAGACTAGTTTAGTTTCAAAAGTAACCTTTACACATAACCACTTTCTTTTACGCAAAAGGGCGTGAAAATGCTGACACGCCACAGACGAAATAATAATCGTTTCCGTCGTCAAGCAACAACGAGACAACAAAAAAATCTCCAGGGAAAAAATAAACTTTTCCTGTTATGTAGCTGAGGAAATGATTCAGCAACAATGAAAATCCGTCTGCGACACCCAAAGTAAATATACCACCACTTCAACTGCTTAAAAAAAGAGCTTACTACGTATTGGTAAAATGTATACTGTTACAAAACTCCATTACACTACACATTCCTAAATAACAAAAGTCGTCTTTCAGTTCAAACCTTTGACGACAATTTGCGCGCTTTTAACTTTACAACAATTACAACTATTCAACTACATTACTATGAGATTTCTGATACAAGAGGAAAAGCACCTCCAATAAAGTGCGCCCTTGAAATGTAATTTTTGCTGTCGGTCCAAATCTATACCGAGAGGAACTTAAGTTTCTTAGTTGAGCAAAGGAGAGAGTTCAATGGGAGGGGATAGACGGAAGCGGATAGTGCTCCTACCCTTATCGTGTGCGAGCGAGCAAAATTCCGCCGTAGAAACTTAACAGATAAATGCATCATGATTTTCGGTACGTAAAACTTATAACCGTAAACTAGTTTCGACTGCGGGTCAGTTTGTCTTCGAACTACTGACAACAACAAAAACATTTGCTTCTCACCCAGTGAACGCCAAGAGCTGTATACCCATCCTCTTTCATTGATATTGCGGAAAATAATCCCAGTTCTGTAAACATTTTACTGAATTAAGGACATCGTTTTCAAACGTCTAGGCTGGGATAATGTGTGAAGAAAGATATGTTTAAAGACTTTTTTTTTCTAATTTGCTAGTATGAAACTATCAGATGACTTAGCAAAGACCACGAGGTTTCGGTCTGCATGGTATTAACCAACGCGAATTTCAATACTTCAAAGAAAAGGATCGTTCTGCTCCGAAACTTCACTCAGATGGGTCGAACTATGAGTGTCACGAGGCAATAAATACGTCCCCACCTCCATCTTCCAACGGCTTACTAGTGGTTCTTCGGAGGAAATGCACCATGATATTTCCATGAATGATTCTGTTGAGGCCCATTTTTTCCCCTTGTTTATTTTCCATTTAGGGCGCCGTTCTAGACTTTAAAGTAAGCTTGACCTTTAATGATGTCAAATCTGGAAAGTTCGTCTGTTAAAAACATCCACTCGTAGGCGGTTAAGGGCATCTCACTTTGAACGAAATGCGTCCTTTTCAATTTCGCTTAATAAGTCTTGGGAATCGTATCATAATAGCAATCCTTAGTGATACATTTGACATGTTGTTAAAACGAGACACGTCCCCTTGACTTTAAAGTCTGTCTGCCGAAAAACGTCATATTATTGTACTTAATAACAAGTTAAGCAAACAGCTGTTTCTCGGAAAACACAGGAAAATTCGACGGGCAGTGGCCTGTACCCAACTAAAAGATCATGAGATCAACAAGGATAAGGCAAGCGTTTACACAATAACTGAGGCGAATATGCTACCTTTCTATTATATCAAGAAATGGATAGACATTCAAGTCTTCTCGGATAAGGACGAAAAAACCGTAGACCCGGTCTCCTGCATCTTCTCTGTACTGGTTAGCGGGGGACGTTAAAGAACCCACCCACTTATCGCAAAGAGTTGGGAACGTAGCTTCAGCTGTTGTGGTCTGGTCTGTTTACTGAAATTAGGTTAGGGGATACTTTGATAACTGAGGGAAAGGTCATTTACCTAGTAGGGGACAACCTTGTCCTACTATAAACTAACCTGCCTTTCGCAAATTGTCAAATACAAATACAAATAAAGTTTGCGTATGAGAAGCATTATTTGTAGTGGAAACAGATCTCAAAATACTTCTCCTTTTCTGGCCTGTAGCTAATGTTCACGAAAGTTTTCATTTTTAAGGTGCTGCCTTTAGATATATCTAGATCGTAGAACTCAGAACTGGGTTGAATACTCTGAAAAAAATCTCCCTCCTCTTATCTGGAACACGTTATGGTTTTTGACCCTTCTCGAAGTCACCTCGATTTTTCTAGTAAAAAGCCTGTCGCGCAAACAAAAGTTCCAGTTATTCATTTTGTCACAAGCGTGGGACTATTACGTACTGGGTTCACACACGTCGAGGCTAGAGAATTCTAAGAAAAGTCAGAACTTTCTAATCACAACAGTCAATTTCTAATTAAATCTTGCCCACTAATCTGACAGATTTTCATAGATCAGTGTCATTCATTTGTTTTGGCCTGCTTCTTTCATCTTGTTATGGTAAGCGACCATAGAGAAAAACCCATTGATAGGTTAGGAGGTCGGTTATCTTGCGAATTGCCTTTGCACAAAAGTTGACACTTCTTGGGTCCCGCTTTTTTATAGAAAAGCTGAGGCTTCGATGAGCCAAAATTTACAAAATACCATAGTAAGAACATACTACAGTCCCTAAAAGTCTGATATGTTGGTTGCTATTTGGCTCTATTTTTCCTTTTAATCATTTCACCTTAAAAGAGACTGGCTCCTAACATCCCCTAACATTATCACCCTAACTCAAATAGAAAGGTCATGACAAATGCATGAACAACAGTATAGAGAATATGAATACTGACGTTATGGCGTAAAGGGTTAACGAGAAAAGCCGTATTTAGCCAAAGTTGATCAACGCGACATTTTCTCTGCGGCATCAGGGTGAGCCCCGAAAGCAACTAGCTACCAATCACAACCAACAATGTTAGTCCACATTCAACTTTAGCTTCAAAATTTGACGTTCCTTAAAATGAAAAAGGGTGCACCTTAAAGCGAAAGCAAACTACACGAAAGAAGAACGTCGCCCCGACGATTCCAACCAAGGAATCCAGCTGATAGTTGGCAGGCCTTAAAAACACTCTAGAAATTACTAAGTTGACTGAAATAAGGTGTGCTGTTCCTCATTATTTTCACCAGCTTGAGATCAAGAACGACCCCTCAAAGTGAGTTTCTTGGTTGCGATAGAGACAAAAGCTCAAGTATTCAACCAAAAAATTACCAACTGCCAGTTTCTGAAGTTAAGTTTCGTTGGCCTCTTATGTCTTAAAATCATTGCTTCGGGAGTACTTTTTGCCAAAGAGGTGCACTTAAAAAATTTATGACGATAAAATTTACGTGTCAAAAAAACCCTTTTTTTTCGTACATCGACAACCGAGCCGTGCGCTGAAACTCCTCTGATCGAAGAAAAAATTATCAGTGCATTCGAATGTGTCGAGTTTCCAAGAATATAATTTTAATTCATTTAACGTATCGAACACATCTCATGTAGTTCACCATTTCACTCGACTTGATTACAATTATGTACAAGCTCTTTACCTCGCACTAGAAGATACACAGATATATAGACGTCTCGTCTTATCTCATTACATTCATGTAACTCAGCACAGTTACTTCTGTTTCCTCTTGGTAGACACGAATTCCCTCTGTTTCTTTTTTTTTTTTCTGTCGGATCCAGCCTCCGATTCCGCCGAGGAGTTCAGTTCAGCGGATGAGCGCGGGCTCATTTCCCGAACAGCGGTTAGTAATCGGGTCTACCTCTTCAATTCTCGCAATTTTTTTGTACCCTAAAAAGAAAACTCCTAAAGAGACAACGCTTCTGTCACGGTAACTGTCTTAGGGACAAGGGGGATAAGGCGGAAGACTGATTTTCCCATTTGAGGTTTTGTCGCTCGAGCTCACTGCCCTCGCCATGCCAAATACGCTGCTTCACCCAGTCTCCGAATGGGTGAAAATCACCGTCCGTGTAATAAGGTTTCACGATGATATTAGAAGGGATCACAAACCTCACGGGGTCCCAATACATCAACAAAGTTCTTCATTTAATACACCGAATAGGATGCTACTTTGGAGGCGAGTCTGGAATCCCTGTTCCTGGAAAACCAGAACTGTTCCCAAACAGAGGCGAAGTAGGAGGCAGGACAAACGATGCTTGACCAGCAGCAGTGGGCGAGAGTGGCATGCCCGAGAGAGAAGTCGGAAAGGCGGATCGAGTGGGTGAAGACATCAGCGGATTCAATCCTGAGTGCATACAGAAGGATGGTTGACCATCAAGATTCTCCCACCTGCTTATAATATTATTTTCTTTGGGAGTGTTAACTTTCAATAAAACGATCACTCCGCAATATCCAAGCCCTCCTCAGGTCACTTGCCCGATTCAAAATACTACTAAATAATAAAGAGACTTTCAAAATGGTTGCTTCCCACAGTAGGCCCCCCCCCCCCTTCTTTGCACACGGTAAGTCTTACTCGGTAAGTT